GGAAAGGAAAGGAAAGGGGAAAGGAAAGGAAAGGAAAGGAAAGGAAAGGAAAGGAAAGGAAAGGAAAGGAAAGGAAAGGAAAGGAAAGGAAAGGAAAGGAAAGGAAAGGAAAGGAAAGGAAAAGGAAAGGACTTTCCAGTGTGTGTGGCCTGGTGACCCCCGGGTCCAAGGCACCGTTGTTTTTAAGGGGCTGCTTACAAAGCACCACAGTGTCTTCAGGTGAGTGTGTCAAGGGATATATTCCCTATGTGGTAAAGAGAGTAGAGTTTTAAAGAAGTTCAATGATTTTTGATATAACTCTCAAGTCTCGATAGCAAGACGAACCATTTCTCTGACTTCCCTTGGACTTAAAATGTGAAGTAAGGCTGTGGGCAGAGAAACATCTGTGGTTCCACCACAGAAAGGTAGACCACACCTGCAAGGTGGCGTCTTCAGTGTCTGCTGAAGATCCGAGCTGTGCCTTCCTGCGTCACATATCTAATAATACAACTTTAAGACTTATGGCCTCTCACAGCAGCAGGCACATAATGTGAGCTTCTTTGGGCAGGGAACTCATGAGTGCGTTAGCAAGACAATTCTGACTTGAAACCTCTCAGGGGACTGCGTGTGAAGCATCTGTAAGGTCTGGAGGACCCACTTCCAAAGTGGCTCACTCACATGGCTGGCAGCTGGTGCTGGCTGCTGACAGGAAGGCATCTCCACAGAACTGGCTTCCTCCGAAACAACTGATCCAAGAACGAGTGTGATGGTTGACTTAACATCATAACTTGTTTCGAAGTATCCTGTTGGTCACACAATTAGGTTCTACTAAGTATGGGAGGTGGATACCCCTAACACAGACACACAGACACAGAGAGAAGCAGAAGGTGAGGATCCCTGGGTACCATTTTGGAAGCTGGCCGCCAGTTTCTCCAGAGGATGAAGCCATGATTGTCGCTTTGTCATCAGATCCTTGGCTAGTTTCCAGGCAACAAACCCTGGGGATGGGAGCATCCAAAACCCTAGTACCAACTCTCCAAATCCAGAAGGTGAAACATTCAAAACAATGTATGGCTGCAAAGAGACCTAGAAAAGATGAACCAAGAGGTCAGAAGACCCTGACAAAGACTGAACCCCAACTCAGCCCTTCGCCCAACTCCTCAGCCACTTCTGATCTATACTGTGAGATGCACAAATCCTGGGTCCGTCGGTCTACTTTCCAATCAAGCTTTGTAACAAGGAAGTCAAACCCTTCATGGAAGTATAGACATTTTCCTCATGGTCTTTCCCAGTCAATTTCCCAACCCCATCCACGTGTCACACACTGAAACAACCACTGTCCTGACATCCCTGTGCAGGGTTTAACATGTCCTAGAGATTCAAACAAATGGAACCATATGGTATTTGTTTATTATCTCTTTCTTTTAAAATCTATGTACTATTCATCCATGTTCTCACACATCAATGACTTGCTTCTCTTAACTTGTTTAAAAAAAAAAATTAATTCCAAAGAGGAATTTAAGGATAGTTGCTCTCCTTCTGCCGTAACTTACACTTTTGTTCTTTCAGTATCTCTTCTTACTGAACCAATTGAAAGCTGCACATACCGAGAGACATTTCATCCCTATGTACTTCAGCATGGACTCCTAAGAACAAAGATGTGGCAGGACCACAAAGTCATTATGTTGCTTGTAAGATATCTGACATTGGTGCAACCATGCTTTCTGTTAGGGAGCCTGTGTTTGCGTTGCCCGGTAGCAATCTCTAGAAGAGGACAGGTGCACATCCTAGGAAATGTGCTGGAGTCTGAGAATACAGGATCAGTTGCTCTGACCTTGACACTTCCTCATCTTGTCCTCCTTCGTACACACTCCTTCTTCCCCTCTCTGGGCATCATGGCTTCCCATATCTAGAAGCCTAGCATCATGGGCAGTTGGCAACAACACCTTCTGCTGCCTTCTGCAGCAGCCAGAGCCAAAGAAACGGAAGGTACCAGGCACTCTTCAGTGTGCACAGAAAGAGGAAGCCCCGGTAGCTGGTTTGGGGTGAGGCCACCTACCGTCATCTACTCCCAGTAATAACGCACAAGGCTTTCACAAGCCTGCTGTCTCCAGGCGTGAACATCTCTGAATAACTCAGGCTAAACCTGAGCTACGTAGCCTGGCCTGTCTCCAAAGCTACTATCTTCCTGCCTCAGCCTCCTGAGCACTTGGCTACCTAGTTCAAGCCTAGCCTATTGAGACCCTGTCTCTAAATCAATCGTCAATCAATCAAGTAAATAAATAGCCAGGCTCCACTGTCCTAGTTAGGATTTCTATTGCTGCAATGAAACACCACGACCAAAAAGCAAGTTGGGGAGGAAAAGGTTTATTTTGCTTACACTTCCACGTTGTAGTTCGTCATTAAAGGAAATCAGAACAGGAACTCAAATGAGGCAGGAGCTGATGCAGAGGCCATGGAGGGGTGCTGCTTACTAGCTTGTTTTCTATGGCTTGCACAGCCTGCTTTCTTGTTAACTCCAGGACCACCAGAGCAGGGGTGGCACCAATGGGCTGGGCCCTCCCCTGTCAATCACTAATTAAGAAAATGCCTTACAGGCTTGCCGACAGCGTCTTAGGAAGGCGTTTCTTAACTGAGGTCCCCTCCTCTCAGATGACTTTAAGGCGTTTCTTAACTGAGGTCCCCTCCTCTCAGATGACTTTAGCTTGTGTTCAGTTGACATGGAGCACAAACGAGTGTTCTGCCTCCGTGTCTGTCTGTGCCCCACATGTGCACCCAGTACCTCTTGGGAAGAGGGCATCAGACACCTTGAAACTGGAATGGAACTCACTCTGTAGGTGTTGGGGATTGAACACGGTTCTTTAGAAAGAGCAGCTGGTGCTCTTAACCCCTGAACCATCTCTCCAGCCAGCCATTCTGAGAATTACCAGGCTGGTTTTTAGAAGCATTCCCAACCCCAAAAACTGAAGATGAAGAACCCAGCTGCTGCCCTATGATACCGTCTCATCTGGCGTGATTCTGATTCTTCATGACGCTTTGAGATCATTTTGGGGTGGACATTTTTGGGGTTTTTGTTTGTTTTGCTTTGTTTGGGGGGGGTTGTTTTGTTTATTTTGTTTTGTTTTGTTTTTTCTTTTCTTTCTGTGTAATTTAATTTGTTTGCTTCTTTTTTTAATCAAATAACTTAACAATGCCACCACGGCTAACTTCACCAATAGAAATGAGACAAACCACAAGCTATGGAAATAGATAAGGAAATGACAGGAAGAAAGAGAGAATGGGAGAGGCATTGTATGGCTTACCATGATCAAAGGGCAGAAACGCATCTGTAAAAAAGGAAAAACCAGACCCTGAGCTCCAACCAGCTGTCTAGAGTAAAACCAGACTCTGAGGCTCCCATCACCCGACCCTCCCAGAGCTCCTACAACACGACCAACATGGCCAGCCAAGAGCCCTTCCGTGTAATCCTTATTCCCCAGCTGCCTTTTTGGTCGTTTTTGTTTTGTTTTTCAGCGCTTCCCATGTGTAGCTTACAATTTTTAACAGCTGCTTCCCTGATCTCTTAAAAAAAGTGAAGGCATTTTGTCTGAACAGCTTGACCGATTCAGGCTGCAGAGTCCCAAATGACCAGCAGGTGTCAACCAACTAACATGCTTTTTCCCCAAACTTAAAAAAAAAAAAAAAAAAAAAGGAAAGAAAGTTACATGGGACCTAGAGGTGGCCACTGAAATCCACCTTCAGCGCTTCACACTGTTCAGAGTTGTCCTAACATCATAGTTTTTCCTTCGTTTTTTTGTTTGTTTGTTTGTTTTGTTTGTTTTGCTTTGGCAGTGCTGGGCTCAAACCAAGTGCCCGCCTTGTACATGCTAGGTAAGCACTCTATTTCCAGCCCACCCCACTGCCCACTTCAACAGCCTTCCTTCCTTTCTTCCAACTCAGTGCCCACTGAATTGTCAAAGGGTCATTGAACACTTATTATTTATAAGATACCATCTGTGGGGTATGGAGATAAAAGGGGAACAGTGATTTCATCTCTGCACTCTGGAAACTGTCTGCTGCTTGGCCTAGAGAGGCCTAAGTGGCTAGAGCAAAGCTTTGGTTACACAGCTATGATCCCAACTATTGGCTTAAAAAACGATGCAACTGATTTATTTCTCAAACAAGAGACCAGAGAGGAGTGGTCCAGGCTGCTGGAACTGTTGAGCTCCTTTGGGTCATTTAGGGACGTGGCTCTTTCCCATCTCGTTGCATCACAGTTCCTATGATGTTGTCCTTGGCTGCGTGGGCAAAGCTGGGTCATGACCATCTCTATGTTCACTGCAGAAAAAAAGGGGAAGGGAAAAAGCAGACAGCAAACTATTTCCTTTGAAGCAATAAGCATAGAAATCATGCTTATCTCTAATATCCACATTCAAGGGCAGAGACCCAGTCATATGTTTGGCCTTATCTAAACACAGAGAAGTCTGGGAAATGTAGTCATTTGTTACCTTGTGGTATGTCTAAGGTATTAATATGGAACCGCCAGTAATATTATCGGAAAACCTCTCTGTCTCTCTCTGACTCATGAAATAACTTCATATCTTCTGATATTTCCACCAACTGTAACTTCCCTGTCACAGTTTAGAAATGCCAGCTCATAGGAACTGGGGGGTAAACAAAATACCCTACAAAAGTTTACTGTGCACGTCGCTTTACCAAGGAGACATACGCTACTGCCCCTCAGGGGTGGCAGTGTCACCATGACAATTAAGATGATTAATTCCCGGTAAAATGAAACTCGAACTAGAGATTATTGTCCGTGCATGAGAATGTGACATTCGAGGTGACTCTTTGAAGCATGATTAGAAGCTAGTCAGGTGGAAACAGAGGAAGAACATTCCAGAGTGTGAACAATCTGTGCAGAGCCCTGTAGTCATGGAGGGTCAAGTTTGTTCATTATGGAGAGCGAGTCTGGGGAGGGAGGCAAGCAGGAAATGGAAGGAAACGAGAAGTCAGACTATGCCAGATCTACATTCCAAACAGAAGAATTAGATTTTGTCTTGCTGGGTAGATGCTTTGACCTTTCCCCCTTGGTTTTTTGTTTGTTTTCTTGTTTCTCTGTCTCTCTCTCTCTCTTCCTGTACGTGGATGTTCAGGTACACCTCACCATGAGTGTGCGCATGGAGCCAGGGATCAGGTATCTTTCTCTATTATTCTTCACCTGACCTTTTGAGATGGCGTCTCTCTAAACCTGCAGCTCTGAGGAACCAGCTGTCTATACCCACGGTTCCCAACCTATGGGTCGTGACCCTCAGGGTCACATATCAGATATTTTCATTTCGAGTCACAACAGCAGCAAAATTCCAGTTACAAAGTAGCAACGAAGTAATCTTGCGGTTGTGGGTCACCACAGCATGATTTCACATTAGGAAGGTTGAGAACCACTGGCTATACTCTCCTAGCACTCGGCTTACAGGTGCACAAATCTGGGCTTCACGTTTGAGCAGATGCTGGGGATTCAAATTTGGATCCTCGCAATTGTGTGGTGATCTATCTACCGACTGAGCCATCTCCCCAGCTCCCTATCTTCCCATCCGAAGAACCAGTTTCTTGTCTCAAGATCTTCCGCCACTTCAGGGGTCGCTTGTGTGTCTGGCCCCGCTGAGTTGTTCCCAGCTGGCTGGCATCACTGGGAATGACGCAGAAGAGAAAGACTCATGAGACCAAGTTGCCCTCAGGAATTTCTAAGTGGGGCTGAAGGTGCCAGTCATTGCTTACCTGAACCACCACAGGCAGCTCAAATGCCTAACTGGTCAAAAGCGGGTTTTCTTTTTGTTTGTTTGTTTTTTTTAAAAAAAAAATAGCAAAGGCCAAGGCAGGTAGGCAGCAGGAACAGTAATGAGTCAGAAAGGCCTCGTTGGATTCCCTCCCAGTCTGCGGTCCCAGGACACAGTTCCTTCCTGAGGCTGAACTACGTTTTCCACTTCAATAATCCTTCTTATCACTGTCTGTGGCTTCAGTTCCCATAGCCAATCACACCCTGAAAAAGTTGAAAATATTCAATGGAACATTCCAAAAACAAGTTACAAATATTAAATTGCACAGGGAAAGGACAGTGGCCCAGTGGTTCATGTGCTTGCTGTGTCAGCTTGTGGGCCTGAATCCAGATCGCCAGCATCTATCAAAAGAAACAACAAGAAACCTCACATGGACAGGGCTGGAGAGGTGGCTCAGAGGTTAAGAGCTACCTCTGGCTGTTCTTCCTGAGTTCAATTTCCAGCAAACACACGGTGGCTCACAACCATCTATAATGAGATCTGGTGCCCTCTTCTGGCTTGCATGCCCACAAGCAGGCAGAATCTTGTATAAATAATAAATAAGTGATAGTGCATGCCTGTGATTCCAGCACTGTGGGAAGCAGAAGCAGGTGGATCTCTGTGAGCTAGAGGCCAGCCTGGTCTAAAAGGTGAGTCCAGGACAGCCAAGGTTACACAGAAAAACCCTGTTTCGAAAAATAAAAAATAAAAAAAGAAGCCTGCTTGACGTAAACACGCAATACTCTGCATCACCCACGTGTAGAAACTCTGCTGATCCTCTCTTCCACACAAGTGAGAGTGGCCAGGCCCAGAGAGATGACAGGG